TAGGTACAAAATGCAGACTGAGAATTCATACTGTGTTTTCGTCTGTTACGTGATAACATGTCATCTTACAACTTACCGAGCGTCACGCAATTGATTTTCCGCGATCATCTTTCATCATAGTGGAATATTCCTAGCCCGTTTCTTCATATAGTCTTCTCACTTTGCGCGCGAGTAGGTTGGTGTGATGTCTGTACAGAATTTACCAACTTAATAAAAGTAGATGTGGATGTAAATGGGATGTCACTATTGAATATTTAACACGCGCAATATTCGAGAAACAATTGACAGCTTTGCAATTGGTCTATACGTTTTAACTCTTTAACCAATATTTGTTTATTTTGTTGACAAAAATGCGGACAGAGACCAAAACTGTTCCTTCGACTTGATATATTTTCAACGTTCAGGGGTGTACACACACTGATTTTCACATATGTGCCTTATATTTTTATTGGCTTACATGAGGAACCGGCGAATTTTTAGAGGGAAAAGCGAAGCGTTCCTTTCGTGATTAGCTATTTGTTTACTTTTCTGGTGGTTTTATCTCTCCTCTGTTTGGTGACTACGCAAATATCAATATGTGAAAATCAGACTATATGAAGGCTTGAAATTCTATTACGATCGATTGTGGCCGCTTTGTTAAAAACAAAAGATATCGAGAAACGGGCAAGGAATATTCCACAATAGTGCAAATGTTCGTGAAAGATGAGGGTTACTAATATTTTGATGCTAGAGCAACATTTGATGCCTGATTATGCCCAACCAGCCCACCCCACAAACACACACACTCACACCAACAAAAAGGACGCTGTCTGCCTGATGACCTCTGCCAATCCCACCTCCAGCCCACACAACCTTTTTTCCAATTCTCATTACGACGAATGCGCAAGTTTTCCTATCACACAACTGCCCAAAAACAAAAGAAAATTCGTTCTATTAGTCTTGATAGTTCACATAAACTGAATTCAACCGTACCTAAATTCAACAAGTCCAAGAAATCAATACAAACTTAAGCCATAACATGAATGAGCTGGCTCCAAGAGCCCTTTGATTGTAACCTGGAGTTAGAATAGAATAGAGTGGCTTGATCGTGGAACGGAACGTATAATGTTGGAATGTCGACAACAAAGCCGGAATCTAGTGAAATTAAGTATACAATACAAGATTACTGAACCAGCGTTTGAGGGTCGAGAATAATTGACCCCTACTAGCTTCCCCCTGGCGTGCGAGTCAATAATACATCTTTCTATGAACTTTATTTTTTAATGTCAAAAGTCATAAGTCACAACGTTGATGTGGTATAATGACTTTTGAGTTATTTTTTCCGACCGAAAATGATTGTTTCGCTCCAGTCCCTCTGTGCTTACTTGTAGTCGTCGTCTTTGCTTTAGTCTTGGTCGCTTAAGCTTCCTATTTTATTGCACAAAAATCAAGTTTTTTCTCTCTTCATCGTTTTTTTCTCAAGCAGGTTTCTATTTCAGCTATAGTTTCTACTGCTTTACATATATGATTTGTGGCAAAAGTTTTATTACTCCTTTATTTATTGAAAAATAACTACCGTTAGATGTGTATCCACATCATAATGGGAGGGGTGGGAGGAACTTTAACAGGGTTACCTGAGAAAGTATGCAGGTATAGTGGTTTATTCTTATTGAAAACAAATTCCACGAGTACCAGTAAAGGGAGAGAGTGCCAAGCTGTGTCATCGATGATTATCAATGTTTCCTCTTATTTCATTAAATATGCTAGATTATCCACCTTTGATTAAGTTGTTGGCCGAACAAGCCCTGTGCTTTGGTAGCAGGACAACACTGGCTTAAAACTGCACAGGATCGAAAGTGAAAGACGAACGTAGTTTTCCTTATGTATATAGATGCTTAAAAAATCCACTTGCGTCTTGAAAGGCTAAAATGGGCGTAACTGACGTTTTGCAATGTCCGTTTCGTTGCGTGGAACCTTGTTGCACACTCCTTAACAACATCAACAACAATAAGCTCATAAATTTGTATCCAGTAAAGGAATACATTTATGATGAAAAACAGAGAAATTAAATCAAATGATCATCACGCCACAACTATAACATGCCTCTGATCTGCTATGTCGTTGCCATAAGTGGTGATAACTTTAGGTGAAGAGGTGATAACTTAAGTTTATCAAAGGGCATTTTACAAATTTCCTTGCTCTAAAGAAAAATGACCTTGAAGAGGGATGTTCTCAGCAATAGGAAATCAGTCGGGATATCTGTGAAACATTTCTCCTATTCAGTTGAAAGCGTTTTCCCACATGCTCTGACTAAAAGTCAAGAGTAACTTGACAAAGATGCTAAAGGTTGGGTCGAGGAGAGTAGAAAAAAACGAAAGTAATGTCCACTCCAGTGGGAGTGGTCTTAGCATATCTATGAAGAAATTAGCTGTCACCCAACCATTATTTGCTATCTGATAGCCTACTTTTCACAAATTTTCAATAAGCTCATTTTACATACATGTTGGGTGTTCTACTAAAGTTACACTTGAAAACGTTAGACATCACTTGCGGTAGCGTGTAGGGACACTATATTTAGACTCAGGTCGCTCCAAAGGTGACACGCATTGAAGGGAACACCAAACTTTTTCAGCTCTTGGTCGCTAAAAATCTCTTTGGCTTTCGTCTTCCTTAGAATCTCGGGGCATTTAGGCATATTTCTATCCCTTATGTTATCAAGCATCGAATAATATTCAGCCAAAAGTTGAGAGTATTCCTTGACATCATTGTTTTCATGAAGGTCTTTAGGACCCTTATAAACTACTGCATGCTCCCAGTCTGCCCACAGAGTCATGTAAGGCGTTCCCACTTGAATTTCTGCCGCTGTTTTAAGCTTAGGAATTGCCACCTTAAAATGGAGGCGTCGATATCCTGATCCTCTCCATGGCCAGTAAATCTTCACTCTAGGGTCGGAGCTTTCTAGTGTCGGTCCACAAACGCCATAACATCTAATCTCGGTAACGGATTTGTTAAAAGCCCGCAGATAAAGATTTTTGAACTTAGAAATATCACTTAGTGTTGGGACAGTTACGCGACAGCCAACAATGTCTGTGATATCCCTATAGTCACTTGTCTTCTCCTGTTTCATCTTGTTCCACAGGGATTCCAAGCTCTTAATTCTCCCGGTGATAACTCCATTCATTCGATTCTTTTTCAAAATGTGATCCAAATCTGTCTCAAGTCTTTTCAACACTTCAGGTAAAGCTTTCAAAAATTGCAAGAAGTGGTCAATGAATGAAGCCAGTTTGCTGTCTCGAGTTAAGCGGTCCGATAGAGAACGTCTGTATCGAGAATTAATTTTATAGATTAAATCTGGTGTGTATTTCAAATCCGTCATGTTCCATTGGTATCCTTTTGGTTTGAATTCGGAGGAGATACCACCGTTGTCATCGTCACAGTCTTTACATTGTAGAATTTTTGCACACGAAATATGAAGGTGGAACAGAATCAGCATGAAATACACAGTGTTCATTTTCGGACTCCCTGTAAAAAAGATTCTAGTATAAGCTGTCTTAAATCAAAGAACACCATTTTTTATTTACACCACGAACAGTATGACTTAATCCATAAATTACCTGTAACGTATGGATGATACATCTGACTGCTCAAGAGTAAGGAAAGATCACGATGGACGACACGTCCTGTGGTCAGGTCTCTGCAAGAAACTGCTTCCTGTGTGTTGCTTTCATAGCCAGTAACCGTGGCAAATTACTTTGTTTTTTCTTTTTTGCGCGCCAATGAAACCCAGCAGATTGGCTTCGTTTTATAAAATTCATTCCGTCCGTGGGGCGGATTTCAATATTACATCACAATGTCAGAAGAAGCGAATCGACGTTTCGACCTTTCCGCTACGTGGTGACTAAGAGACCTGTTGCTAACTGTGTATTGCAGCCTTTAGAATATACAGGTGCCATTCAGTTTGCTATCTAAGATTTTTCATCTTTTTTTATGCACAAGGTTCTATTTATGGATGCTGTATTCTTTTCATTATATTTCCTGTCTCTAAAGAACAGAAAATCTGTCGTGGAATTCATTTCCTTTGGGTTCTCCACTTCGAAATTTTATTTTTAGTAAACACCGGTCGAAGTTAACACCTGTTGTTTAGATCGCTCAACTGTAGACGGAAAACTGCAATAAGCATTAAATTGTAATTACTACTAGCGCTAGTCTTTTCTTAATCTGTTATCCACGGGTAATTTCCAGAAATTTATTAATTTTTGATAAGGAAATACCGTTTTATCAAATGAAACTGTTCATAACGTTCGAGTTAAGCAAAGAGTGGATCCTTCTCAACGATGTTTTTCCGATACTATACCGGTATATTATTCGCTAGTCTTCTTTGGTTAGGATATTAAAATGACTCTCATGTTGGACCTACTTCTCGGGGAATAAAATCCCATAACAAATACACAGCTAGCCCTTTTACTGCCAAGGTGCAATATGCGATAAAAACGTTTGGGACAATTGTCTTAAACAAGCACTGTTTCCCCTTCTCATTACTACGTCGGAACAGTTTAATAAAGGTAGCTCCTTAGAGGTTATAGTTCCACCGGTTTTCCAGAAGCAGTGCTTAACGGGACATGTCTTTAAGATTTCGAAATTCTGGTGAGAAAGAGACGAAGTGTTGGTAGAAGGTTCAGCAAAAAAATAACAATAGTTTATTTCACATTTCCTTACTATGTTACACTAAGTACATTATTATGTTTAGCTAGAAAGATTTTCAGAGAGATTTACAAAAACTAAACATAGTTATCTAGGGTGAAAAATGCCAATATTCTAAGTAAACTGTAAAGTTTGCAATTTAGGCAGTAGTCCTTTCAAGTTGCAATTTAAATGTGAACATCTACATGCAATAATTGGTTTAAATCCTTAGTAGTTATTAGACCGAGTGTATTGCCTGGTAATTTCTAAAATCACGTTATACAGAAAGAGTGAAGTTACGCGAAGGATGAAAAAAGAAAAGTATTGCAACTTTCCTACTGTCCGCCTTATTTTTTGACAAGCTTCCCAATCACGCGTTCGTAGAATTGTACGTATTATGAAAGTGCAAGAGAATATAAACTGGTTATAATGCCTCGGTATATGCATTGTGATCTCAACAAGTACAGCATACACCGCCTAACCTTGTGCTTTTACGCCTAATTGCATCATGGAGGTAAAGATATATCACACATATTTGGTAAAAGGAATTCAAAGAACAACGAGAAACATTACGAAGTATACCGTGATGAAAACAGTATACCCAACAGGAAAGAATCCTCTAGCTATTCTGTCTAAATGATTTTCCAAACTTTCCATATTTCCAAAGACCTTCGTGCGTAATTTCACCCACAGACGATTGTCATGTGCTGTAACATCCTCGTGATTTTGAAATGCCGTCGGGCCTTCTGACGATACACTTTCGTCTTGACTACTCTCGAGTCTTTGAGCAGTTGTCATGTCATTTTTCTGCAAGGATTAATGTTTAGAAAATGGTAATAGTGAAAATTAATAGGTAAGATAAAAAGCCGGTAATAAAAAAAGGCGATAATAGAGTTCGATTCTAGCCTTCGGTCATGGCTTGCTAAGAACTGTGCGGGTAAGATGAATTGAAATGTCGAGTAGATAAGAGGGGCTTATCTTTAACGCTTTGCTTCCACTAAAAGTATTTTTATAATGAAAAGTTTGTACGGTGAAGAAGGATCAAGTTTTTCTGGCAGTTCGTTGATACCCATTTTTTCTCCTGGGTGGACCTCTCGACCCAGAGTCTAGGTTTTTCACCCATGGTCTAACCCAAACCACGGTTTTACGCAGTCAATGGGCCTCTGGTTTTCTCCATAAGAGTGTTGATTAAATGTCTTTTCACTTTTATCTTACGACCCTCTTAACACTTTTCGCAAAAATAAATATTCACACAAAAGGTTCAGCTAAATTGAGGATTGTTTAAAACGCGTTTTTGTAAAAAGAAAACAAATAACAAAAACAAAAAAAGCGGCTACACTTTGTTTAAACAATCGGCCCTGACGTTTTGGTTACCGCGTTTTCTTTCCTTAGGGCGAAAAACTAAAGGGAAAAGAAGAGGAATCTGACTTAAGTACAGCTAACTTGACCTCGTAGTACGAAAGACTTAAAATCATCACGACGATATGACTTTAGGTGGCCGAAGATTGCTCAAGATGTCAAACAAAACAAAGTTGGAATCAGCAAAATCACTGGAGCTTTCGGTGGGGATGCGGGGATGCGAATAAATCGTTATTTATATTAGGATGATGACGAGTAAAAGTTTATTGCTCCACTGGAGTGAGAAAAGTTTGATCTTGCCTTTTCTTCTTCAGAGGAAATTCCATTCTCTATCCGTCCTATGGATACAGCTTTCCTGTAGACGGCAGCAGTTTCAACGAGCGCTAAGAACGTAAACGAAAACGAAACAATCAAGAACAGGTCAGCGGCATTCACATAGCTGACGCGCGGCATAGCCTCATTAATGCTTCCGACCAGGAATATCTGGGTGAGAAGGGAGGTGATACCAATTGCACTTCGGTCTCCGATGTAGGCAGGGTCCATCCAAAATGCCATCCACGAGACAACCGTACAGAGAATACAAGGGAGATAGATACGTATGATGTAATACCCAATCCGTCTTGCTGCGGTGAACTTTATTGTTAGCACATCAAAACAACCTATAAGACAACCGATCATCGCTTTTGAGAAAGAAGGGTTTTCTACGTCTTCGATAATTGTGGAATTGTCAAACTTGATAGTAGGGTCATGTTGTAATGCTGGGAGATTTAAAGGCCACTTTGTAACTGAAAACCATCAATCTTCCTGTTGTTGTTGTTTTTGTTTTTAATCTGAATTTGTATTAGGGCTCGCCATAAACGAATTGAATCACCCAGCATTCTCGTTACATTATTATGTAATAACAAATAGTATAGACAACCTTGAGACGCCCTTGGAACGTAAGCTTACTAAGGTACGTTTTCATGTAGTTTCATGACTGCATTCAGAATTATTGCGCTGAGCACCATACTTCTAGAAATCCAAATATCGAGGATCAATTCAGATTATATGATAAGAGACCAAAGTAATTCTTTCACGCAGGCATTATTAAAGAAAAAGTGTAATCAAACTCAAACGCACAAATCGTTCATACCCATAAATAGCTCTTTGGTGTTCATCTCTACACTTTGTTTCGTAATCATGAATTCAGACATCTCTTTGTTAAAGAGTTTGACGTTGCTTCCTGCATAGCGCAGCTGTTTGATATCCCTTCCATCTGATAATAACATTAAAATGGCAATTGAACCAATTATGTTCCCAAGAACGCGTTCATAATACGACATCCTATGAAAAAACGTGCCTGGAAGCAACTTGAAACAAAATACCGTTACAGTATGAAAATGAATGTCTCACGTACACTTTGGGATTGTCGATAGACAGATAACATACATCTTCCCAAAAAACCGTTCTTGATAAAATGTCTTCCGAGAGAATCGAGTTTGGATGCATTTTGTGACGAAATACCTTTCTGGTTTAAAAAAGACGGTTTCAGCTGACAGCAGGGTACCTCTCATCATTTATCACCTGGGAGGGGAGGGGGGGAATGAAGGATCTTGGGGGGAGAAGATCTTATGGTTTCAGGAAGAAGGGAGGGGTGGATCCGTCGTCACCAATATTCGAATGAAACAAAAGCAATTCATTAATGGATCATTTTAGAAAAGTGACTGCCAATAAACTGCCAATGAAGGGGGGGGGGGAGGGGGTATTAACAAGAAAATCACAGAGCCTTATGGGTAGATCCCGTAAAGTTTACCGCGACAACCAAAATCTTCCGACCGGTCCCTTAGCGGATGGATCGTGAAGTGCCAGGAAGAATACATGATTAATTAAAAGAGAAAAATGTCTTGATTGAATCCACAAAGTTTTTCCAAAAATATCATTTATGTTTTAACCAAAAATAGATTATAAAATCAGGAAAACTGCTCAGTTATACGGAGTTGCACAAAAGCTTCCACTTTGTAGGCTTTAGGGCCATCATAAATGATTGCAGAGAGATCTATATCATCGAGTAGCAATGGCTTCACTAGAAAAGTACGTTGTACTTACAGCTTAGCATATCCATTCTGAAAACTTGCGTGTCCATTGGATAGGCACGAAAATTCATCAGAGTTGTGGCCGTCATTGTTACCCTAGTAGGCGATTCCGTGGTTAAATATTTATTTTTCTATTTATGTCTATCAATTTATTTTTGTTTTATATTATGCTGCGTGTCCCCCCCCCCCCCCGTCCTGTAAATACCCTAATAATTCAAACTACAGCAGAAAGAAAAACTGGTAAATTTCAAAATGAAACAAAAGCAATTCTTTTATTCTTCATGGTCGACTTGCACAATTATTTACGCTTTCTTACCTGAGTGATTCACACCGAAGAAGAAATTAAATGGAGGGCACAACTTGCCAAATGAAATGGAATTGGAGTCATTTCATTTCATTCAGAAAAAATAAAGCACCACAGATCTAATAGAAAGTTATTACTCCCTATATTCAGTTACATCCATAGCCTACCTCTGACTGAAAACTATCAAGCCATCTCCATAAAGTACCACGGTGCGAGTTTCTTGGTGCACAGATGTTTTCACAGCGTTTTCGAAGTAAGTATCTGGTAGCCAAAGGTCGTTCAGTGCTTCATGTTGTAAAGTAAGAGCGATGTCTCTACTACCAAACACTAACCTGGTATCTTTCCATATTTGCCTCATGTACGCATCAAGCGTAAATTCCTGAAAAATAATGACAGAAGGAGCATGAAAGCAATTTTTGTATCATTACGCACTAACTAAGGGATCTGCCATTGTCGGAAGTATTTGCCAAAGAGTTATGTAAAAGCCATACTAATTTTTTTGAAGTTTTCGCGAAATGCATTTTGGGGCGTAATACGTCACAAAGTTCCATTTTTATCGTCAGATAACATTAGTCAGTACTTTTGTTCACAGATTTCCCACTGAATAGAAGAGATAACAGTGTGCAATCATGAGATGTCAAAAAAATTTTGTTTAGCAACAACTGATGTACCAATCTTAAACAGCCTACGCCAATTTTTCGAAAAGTGTAAAGTGTAATAACCGAGCTAAGCATCAATGTTGAAACAAAGAAACTTTACGTTTGTAAGCTTCATTCCTCATGGAAATATCGTTGAAAATTAGAGTTCTCCATTAGGGGTGTGAGTGCAAAATGTCGTTTTCGCTCGATTTAAACCTAGCCGTGACTTAAACTCTTTTTATTTATACCCAGCCTAGAAACAGTCTGATTAATCAGTTGCCAATGTTTGTTTCGTCTTCCTTCCAGCTATTTGTTTTCCCGATTTGTTTTCTATCACCCAAGGGATACTTATTGGATCTACGTGTTCTTGGTTGTTGTTGTTATTTTCTTTTTTGATAAAGTATTTTTTGTATTTTCTTTTTTGATAAAGTAACCGAGATAGTAGAAAAAAAAACATTGTGTAAATGTGGCTTCAAAACAATCTTGAGTTTTCTGGTGTTTTCGCCAGCCACAGGGTACCGGCCTTAAGTTCTTAATTAATTAAGTTTCAATTTCGGATACTTATTTTGAAAATAATGGTTACCCAGTGGATTTAATAGTGTATTAAAGAAAGGAGGGAGTTTGATTCTCACCATGTCCTCAGTACGAATGTTCCCTATGGACAAAATTCCCAGAGACACTGTTATAAGAAGAGCCTTTCCTGGGAGGAAAAAATAAAGATGAAAAACAACAACAGGATTAACCATGTCCCAGTTTTGTCCGAAAACTAAAAATTGGCAACTGCTCCATGTCATGGGTATACCACTGGACTATGCCCCAGTTTGAAACGTCCAAAGTTTATCTGACAAGAATTGTTGAAAAATTGCAGTACGTGGTAAACCACATTCTAGATTGCAAGGAGGGAGAATTTTATGACTTTAATGAGGAGGGCAATTTTTGTGACAAAAATTCATGGAAACTTATCAAATGGTCACAAAGTCATGAGTTTCAAATGACCCTTACCTGCATAGTCAGGTCTCAACCTTTTGTCGTAGTTTCTGAAAAGTTTTTGTAGGATTTCGGCGGCATTATGAGCTCCATTCACTGGTGGCATGGTCCCATTAGTTACTATGGCAATGATGTCCTGGTCGGCCTCGCTTGAATTAAATAAATCAAAATCAAAAAAAATCTCATCGTTAGCTGTTTGAGTAATGCAAAGATAATTTCGCCGTAATGGTCTAGTGCCGACTGTAAAGACAAATTAGGCCAGAAATTGATATGTTTAGTCATTCGAGTTGAAGGTAAATTTCCACAGCAAAAACACAACTCTATATATCGATAAAATGACCGTTATCGATAAGTTTGAACGGATAGGTAATTTCTCGAATTCCAACCGGCAGTATCACTTAAATATTGCTGAACATTTTTTGGAAATTCTCCCAAATTATGTCAAGTGCTCTTGCTACTTGTTTTATACTGACCTTTCGTGTTCATTCCTCTGCAAATTGCAAGCTAGCGTAAAAATTAAACTCATCTCTAAGTAGAAAATAAGGTAAAAAGTCCGAAGGGACATCGCAAAGCAGACCTTCCGACGGGTTTCTTCAATCTGCAAAAAAAGTCAAAACATTTGCAAAATTCATAAGCTCTATTTGGCGTATCTCACGAAATAACAGTATGAAACCGAAGCATTCCTCCTTTGGTGGACAAGAATAGAGAATAATTAAGTGGTACCTAAAAATAGATAAGTAAAATGAAAAATTTTCTTTCTGAAAATATTGTTAAAGCTCACCAAAAAAAAGGCTGGATTCAGATGTTGACTGGGGAGTGTATCACTTGCAAACAACTCACAATGCATGAATCTACCAACCTAACAGTGGTATTTAAGACTTCGCCGTGATAACGATCACGGAAAGTTGGTTTATTTATGTTTAATTTTGACGATTGGACTTTGGCTGTTTCATTATTAATAAAAATTAAAACAAAATTCCCGAACGTGATTGGTTATCAATAACCTGATAACAGTCCTTATAGGACGGCGTACGTGATAGGCGTAATGTCTGAGTAACTTTGCAGTACGTGTCATGTGAAACCTTAGTTAGTGTTAGGTTTTTTTATGACATGTTTCCCCAATGTTCAGAGTCTCAATTGACTTGTAACAGAACTGTAAACAAGTACCAGGGCGAGAAACTCTTCAGCCTGATTGTTACACAGTCATTCGATGAATAATCAAAGGCTCAGCCTGTACAAAACTCGTCTTTCATGGCGCTGAGGAATTCTGAAAATGTTTTTTGGAAATAAATTTTAGAATTTATGCTATTGTGAACGTTTTCCCATCCCCTGTAGAAACTGAGGATGAACGAGTATGTTGGCCGAGTGGCGGCTTATTCTGTGTGCATCTTGACGACGAGATTCGAAATAAGATCTCGATTTTTCCGCGAAAAAAGATTCTTATCCCTATTTAGTCCTCCCAAATATTCCATTTAACATCTGGTCAATTAAATGTCGCTTTACCACTTGGATCTTAAAACCTCAATGATTAGGGAAATGAACAAAATTTAGGTAGATTGCAAAAAAAAAAAAAAAGAAAAACAGGAATCTTTTCCAAATCTCTGCAAAATCAGAACCGTAATTTAGGTTCGTGATGAAGATAGGTAATTAAATGAAAACCTTTTGTTCAAGAAGCTCATTCTAGACTTCTGTAAGGCTGCATGCGAGGAAACTTCCTATTGTTAACCAAAGATTAAAACTTTAATGACGCCTTACATCACCGCATGACGCTGGAACCGTGTGATTCTAACTAAAAAAAACTTGGTGTTGGTGTCAGTTCTGCTCCTTTCCCATTTGTCCGCGCAGCCAACTGGCATAGTTTCGTTGATTTCTATCCAAGAACGCCCTTTTGCACGATATAACGGTCATTCATCATCTCTAAAAAATTAAGTAGACTATGACCTTAAAAATGGATGAGAAAATTATTGTCGGACACGGCCTTGAAAGATGATTAAGAAGTATCTGTATGGCACGGGTATAAATGCAACCCTGCGTAAGGGTTTAAGATTTACTTTTAATCGAGTTTACGTCAACGTAAGTGTACCTGTATTGTTATTTTTTGGTAAATTACATTTTTCGCACAAAGGGCCGACATATCCGGGACGGTGTAAATACTTATTACAGAGATAAATTAAAGATAAATATAATTTAAAGAAAAGAAAATGACTTAACGAGTGTAAGTTTGTGGTCAAAATTCTGCTCTCTTCCCGGGGAGAATCTCCATAATAGATCACGTTATCTGGAATTCCCTCTGCTAAATTATAATGTTAGAAATAATTTCCTAACACTCGATGTTTTGTTGTCCCTTTTCTTTATTCACTCTTACAACTCAAGTTATTACAACGGGGACTAGCTCTGATCTCTCGAGGAAAGTGTGGGTCACTGCTTATAAAGGAGACTTACTGAGCTGTCAGTCTCTAACCTTCGTCATGTTTTTACACTTAAATAGCGAATCACGTTGGGCTACGCAGAACGGAGTTCGCATACTGAGTAGATAGCTTCGCAATGTTTACGCTTCACGATACGTTTTTCTGACTTAAATTTCTTGGTCTTACGGTCAAGTTCGGACAAAACAAAAACAAGATTGACCAAATAAAAATTATAATAAACTTAGTAACTGAATTAAAATCATACTTGAAAAGATATCTTAAAAGAAAATAGTCCTTGAGGGCTGTTGCATAACAGCAGAATGAACACAAAATTCGGAGAAGAAAGGGCGTACCCAAGGTACCGCCCCTAAAAGAGCTACATGCTAGTCGTAGAAGTTATCTAGTTACAAATTCAGTGCGGAAGAGGAAAAGTACTACATGGTTACACTTAAGTCACCTCTAAGTAAAAGAGGTGTTGAGCGTGCTAAATTATACCTGTAAGATAAGACCGCCGAAAGGAATAAGAAATGATCAACTGGCTTATTATAATTTTTACTGAGTGTCTTGTGCTAATATATTTTTCCCATTTATTTTCACGTTCCAATAAGTCAAAAATCACCTATAATGAAAATTTTTGCTGGATGCCAATTTTGTCTTTTAACAATTAACAGTCAAATCTCCCTTCGGTCAATATTTCCATATTGTTTATAAAAGACACTTAACATCTGTTGTTTGGAAGCCTCAGGACATCATTGAGATCCAATAGGAGTTTTTTTTTTCAATTTTTCTGTCAATAATCAGGAAGGATTGACGAATGTCAAAACTATTCGTCAAACTGTCTCTGTGTTCGCTTTTATGAGGGCCAGTTCTTCTCAGAAGTTTCTCAAATATAGCCATTACGAACAATTACGAAGCTACAAATAACTATACGCACGAAGGACATGGTTTTCCCTCTCTCTTTGCTCGCAAGTTTTTCAATTCTGGCTTGGTGGAGTGTGTTTAGTTCGTGTTATGCCAGAGGTGATCATGATCAGGATGTCAATCAAACACGGTAAAATACATGCTAGAGAATATAGAGACGTAATGACAATCTAAACCCACAATTACATTTATTTAACTATTTTCCATGAGACGGATGATCATATTTCACCAATTTTTTTTAAATACATTTTTTTTGTTTTTATTATTTTTATGAATAAATAAGCAAACTAAACAAATCTGATGTAAATTCAAACAAAGAAAATATTGACAAAAAGAAACTTCTATCATTTTAATATTCCCATGATTTATCTCTAAATTCATAGATCGAAAATCTGTGGTTTCTATTTTCTTATATATCAGATTGGCGGATTATCGTATGGCCCTGGTCACACATTTCTAAAGAATCTATAACGAAAAGCTAGCGTGCGTGGAGCCGGACGGGCTGACTGGGCCGGTCCACAATAAAACTGTGGGGTTCCACACTTGCAATTTCTAAAAACTAAAAATCCAATCATTAGCTTTAACTTAAAGACAATAAGCGAAAGTCCCTTTGACATCAAATTCAGTTCTGTTATAAATTAAAGATTTTATAGTGGAATTTTTTTTCAGTTGTCTAACGAGCGCCTTTGTTATTAATCCAATGACTTCCCAATTAGCTAGCTTCAAACCTAATTTCAAACACTTTTAAGGCCTAGTGGTCACATGATAGAGTACTAATTGACTAAGCCCAACGGCCCAACTTTTCCGGCCCAAAGGCTAAATATTTGGTTCCCGGTCCCAACCTCGAGCCAAATGTTCTTACTTATTTTTTTCGTTCACCAACACATGAAGGGATTTTTAAAATATATCTTTTTTACAAATGAGATTCAGGGGAATTCACGAGTTAGATGGTGAATTTTCCTTAAATCGAAAATAAGTAAAGAAGAAGCATTTTCTTACAGCTAAGGTTTTTTTCAAAACGTGCCATTTAAATCAACTCTCCGATTTGGGAGGGTGCGAATGATTTGCTGTTTAATATCAAATGTCGATTTTGCGTTCTTCTTAGCGTCCTATGATATTTTCTCTTCTTCTGGTTGGCTGTTTTGGTGGCAATTATTACTGATTTTCAATCAAATGTACTGCGTTCCATACGTTTTAGAGAATTCCGTATAAAAATTTCTATTGGCCTTCGTTTCCCGACCAAAATGATGTAATCACTGTGTGAGACAATTTGAATTCTACCGCAATGGAAACAAGCACGCTTCTTCCTGTGCTAAATAAACAAAAAATATTTACGATATAGCAACTTCCTGTGTCGCATAACAGCTAAACTAAAGCTACGCTTTTTGATCACAACAAAAGAAGAAGTTTGGTTTCGAACTTTTTCACTGTCCCTTTATAACAGATATCATGCAAACCAATATTTGTATGATAGCAAGCACACAAACAAAACAACGTCGTAAGAGAATCAAAATTGTCTCTGATATTGGTTAATCTAAAACAACAAATTCTTACCCCTCCAGAAAAAAACGTCGATGGTTGCAAAATAAGACAAAAGAAAATAAAGCTCAGCCATATTGGCCTGAAGTCAGCTCACAGAAGCGAAGGATCCGGAAATGATAGACAATAATTCATATGGAGACTTCAACGTGATTGGGTTATAGATGCTTCTCGCTGTAGGATTTTTTTTTCAGGTAATACAAAGTAATGAGAATTCTAAGATTGAAAATCAAAAATCTCATGGTAGCATATGGCAGGAAATCAATGTAAATTGTGATCTTGCTCTATTGATGGCATTTTTATGATTCAAAAGGGCCGTGCGGAATTTCATTATCTTTGACTTCTTGAGGCTTAGTGGCATTTCAATGAAAACTGAAAGCAGCCACGAAAAGGAAACTTTTCAAACACCGAAGAAAGTATGATTATTTTTTACGCGAGTTTCCTTTTATGACTAAATTGTAATTTATGGAGGTTTCCAATGGAGTGGGGCTTTCACGGCTAACGGTTTAAAGTTTGGCCATTCGACGGCTAACGGTTAATTTCATTCCTTTGCTGTCAACATAAATATTAAAATATGTATTTTTATGGTTACCTGTTTTTATGACTACCGGTTAAAATCCGCCAATTTTCACACCCACGAGCTAAATTTCTTTTTCTTTAAGCCTTTTTACGGCTAACGGTTAACCATAATGTAAGCCAGCGAAAATTCTCTGCAAGATATTTCACAAAAAAGAACCGAACTGAGAAAACGCTGCATCGTAGACAAAGTAGAGCAGCTGTTTACTAGATGTTAAGGACTTGTTATCAGAGAAGTACGTTGCTCACCAATGGATTTACTAAAAACTAATACAATTTTTCCAATCGAAACTCTGACCCAATGGAATGGTATGTCATATGAAGTCATACTTCTAGCAGTGATAATAGACCTCTTTAGTTTGTATGGTTTCAAGGGATTCCCACCCTTGTCTTTCATAAATAATGCGTACATGTCCACGTAAATAAGATAAAATTTGAGAGAAACAATCCTCTGGAGTATAATCATATTACATTTGGAAAACAAAACATGTAGGGTGAAGAGATCGATCTCTATTTGTCCGTTGAATAAACATGCTGAAAATGAATCAGAACCGTTCGAGAATTGTTGAAAATTAACATGGATTTCAATAGCCCTTTTATGGTTTCCAAATATTTGCTTGCGTTGTCATCAAGTCTCCTTCTGTATCTAATATGTAGATGAATACACTGCATTTCCTTTGTGCGTGATGAACATGAATTACGCGGAAACCTTCCATGATTCTACGTGGCAAAAGAAACATCGGCCAAACGTATTCATGTGCATCTCGACGTCTCTCATTGTGTCAAAGCTTTCAATGATTTGGTTAGAATAGCAGGCCGAAAAACTAATTGAAATGTAGATACGTGCTAGATTAATGAAGATCCGATTTTGATGTAAAATGCTGCTAATGCGTTATTCAAGGACTTTTCTTTTCTTGTGCTACAATTCAAATGATCGGCAAAACAATGATTAGATTAAAAAGAAAAAAAATCTTAGTTTTTAAATATCCTGGTTAAAAATTGCAACTTGCACTGGTTCCGCACGGAATGGTTCGGATTTGTGATTTTATCGGGAGAATATTTGGGTACCATTAAAAACAATATGCCCAATTCTAGCCCGCCTTCCAACAATACTCCTAATATATATTTGTCCGCTCTGTTGTAAAATTTCAAAGTGTGCATTACATTTTTAAAGCCTTCAATGGTCTAACCTTCATCCAGATCAAGTGGTAGTAGACTTCATAGCCTCATATTGTGGACAACTATATTAGCTCATTCAATGTGAAATAATTTACACCTGAGAAACTCTAAATTTGCCGAGAGAGCCAGTGTAACACCTCTACAACTCACCTCAGTTAGTACTTTGCTCGAGTCAACTCGTTTCCTCACTGCAGTTTGTTTCCTTTTGTTTTCGAAATTATTATAACACTGAAAGATACGAGGGAAAACTAGTAAAATTCGAGGCGGACTTGCTTTACCTGTTGCGGAAGAACATAAAGTGAGGGTTGGAAGCGAAGTTGCAATGTTGACAAATCGTTATTTATAAAATAATAATTAGCCAAAAATATGTAAAATGTTATTTTGAATCGAGGCACTCGGGCAATACTGGTTTTATTTTTACACTCTCGAATGTTAATATTTATAAATAAATCTAGGTGTATCTAGGTGTTCGTTCAGGATTAAAAAAGAAGTTAAAAGCGCTATTTCAAATTGGAAACCCGAATACCGCTCGTTTGTTTATGCAAGCTTTGACATTTTAGCCTCATCAGTCTACTGAAGATTTTACTGAAATGCGTTTGTTGTTCAGCCCACTGGGAAAAGGAAGCAATTATGAAACCTTACTTTTTAAGATATTACCAATATTGGCTCACCTAGTTTCCTGGCTTGCCTCAAGCAGAAGATGGCGTTTATTCAGTTGCTTCATTAGGGCAGCTAATGTCATTCTTTCTCTTTTTATCTCATGAAAAAATTACGGCTTGACAAAATCAATTGTCTAATGACCTCATTAGTGGGGCATTTTCTGCAAGGTCATCAAATTACTTCAGGCTATTCTGAGGACATTATTATTAACCTGGTGTTATAACTTACATCCTTGCTTTTTCAATTTTTGTGGTCATCTTCTTTCTTGATTATACAACTTTATAATAATACTTCATCATTTTTCTTGCAAAAAAAAAAAACCTAGAAGCTTTGCTGTCGGCAAGATGTCGTGTTCATCAGGTGCTCCTATTCAAATACATTGATAAAAAACAGCAAAATTAATCTTCGTTTTAAAAAATGCATATTTCGTATATGAAGCCTTAGCGTTCTCGAAATGACTCATTTTGATAAAATAAAACCACTCTAAAGCACTTTGATGTAAATTTGACATTAACACTTTCATTAAAAGTTGGCATTGATAACCATAACATCCACAAAGGAAATGCCGTTGAGAAGGCAAAATGCGCAACATGAATTTTCATGACAAGTCAAAAAACCTCAAAGTAGCTAGCAGATAATACTGATGCATTATTTAAAACCTACAGCCGTTTGTTTTGTTTAACCTTATCGATCCAGACATAACTGTTTCATCTACTCGCCGAAGGCTGTTTCATTCTTTTTCGTGGGTGATGTTTAAATTTTATCGCAAAGCGTTTGGTGTTCACCTGTGTAGTTTTATGGTATTTGCGAATATCTGTGCCATCAAATCATCGAAAACAGATGATTCCAAAAGGTAAGATTAACGGACATTGTTACGTTTTTTAAGCTGATATAAACGATAAACAAGTGTTACATTAATAAGAGGTAGGTAGAGATTCGTTCCCCTTTTAGCAGAAATATTAAGATAAGGGATAGATTTTTTGTCTTTACAACGTATAATAAATAAAAAGCTAAACTTCCTATGGTTCAAGACACACAGTAATACGGCTCTGATTTGCATTACACTGTTTATAATTTGCACTGATAAACAAACCGACTGACAGATATTCGGCAAATTCAGTATTATTGAGTGAGTTCTAATGTTTGGTGTGATAACAGCAAATTATTTGGCAGGCATAGATACGAAACATCATCATTAAGTCTTCTTACAAATATTTTACTACATTAGTGAATTTTACAGGAAGTCGGGCAGCGTTTCAGGAAGGTGACTTCACAAACAAATTGTCAATGATGATTTCTTAGACATGGTTAATTGAAATCATTACCGTTTCCTTACTTAAATTTATCACTGCTCCATAGTACAAACTGTGAATAAGACTTTATTTAACACTAAGGAAGCTCAAAAGATTTTACTTCTGTGCGAAGTGTTTAAGAAGGGTGAACGGTGTTAGGCCTTTTGGTTTTTTTCCTGTTTGAATGGCGATTAAGCGAGCATTTTAACTAATCTACTAATTCCCAAAGGAAGACATCATCTGATTACAGAATGCCGCAAAATTTTCACAATTATTTTAGATACTAATGTAAGGACATTATGACAAATTTCGCCATCGTGTTCACCATTAGCTGGATGACGACTGCAACATCAGCTAAACCAGAAAGAAATATTGCACAACAGAACGACAATTAATTTTCCAAAAACGTTCACTGTAGTAAACGTTGTCATGTACCATAGTTTGAAGACAATTCAAGAATGTGCGCCATTGCACCACTTTTTCTTGTTTTAGGTAAGTCGACAGTGAACGTTTCCTTTTCAACAACCGAAATGAAAATTTTCTGTTTACCCTAAACTATAAATATTTAATACCGAAAATTAGCAGCGTTTAGTAATCCCCATCGTTATTCGGTTTCCGCAAGAATTTTTTGCGGTCGGGTGCTAATTACCATAATAATTACATCCGTCAAAACTTTGAGTATCACCGCTTTTTTCCGATGAATTTCGGAGTCTTTGCTCTGATTATGACCTACATTGAAATAAAAATGATATCAGATATCCCAAGCAAACACGCACTCTTGGGAAAACCAACTCATATGCTGACTGTTGAATAACATCGTAAAATAATTTTTTTCCGAATTCATTTCATGTTGTTTTGAAAACACTGCAACATCATCGCTCTAATTCTGAGAACTACTTTTATTTAAGGACAGAAAAAAAAGCTGTGGCTCAAAACCATATTTATTGTCAGCCACTTGTAATCTAACCTGAACTTGGAGCAATTATGAAAATGAAACTTTCGGGAAATAAGCACAATTTTAATTAAACTCAGTGGAACTGAAAATAACATATCATGTTTCAATTTGTTTGACTGATCTACACACACAATGAGGAAGTCCTTTAAAATGTTTTCCACGCGGTAGTACCCGTTTTTAGCTCGGCCAAATGCACTATTTTAACGAGGATCTGAAAATAACGAAAATCAAGTCCATCTCCAATTCGTTAGCACCCTGGTTGAATGCCTCGCAGATGAAAAGAGTTGCGTGGTTACTAAGAACTACAAGCAGCTTTCAGTCGCTTTCTTTAACTGAGAGCAGTATCAGCCGAGGGTTAGTATCCGACAGATACTCCATATGTCAGTACATTTAAATAATCCCCAACGAAATAGCAAATCAAATGTTCAATTACGTACGGATGGTGAATAAAAATTTTTAATAAGTACCTCGCCGACTTCGCCATTAACCATACCGTTACTTTGACTACAACCTTATTATTCAGAAATTTTCTTATCCGATTACTGTGGTAGCGAATACGCATTGATCACCGCAATAGATTTTGCTCACGGCCTTTCATGCAAGGCGATTATACCAAACAGCCATATTCACCACTGCACATAGGTTTTGGTAAAATATTTTGTTGTAATTAATGGAGTTAACCATAATTAAAAAGCTTTCAGGATGGCCTCAGAGAGCCTAAACCCTCTAACACCAAATGAAACGTATATCAGGCAATTAAAATTACACAAACGAAAAGCCACCAGCATTGTTTCAAGTACGCCATCACGGCGTTTCTGTATTGAAGCTTACAAAGTATGAACTTCATGTTTCCTCTACGTTTCTAATTGTTTAAGGCAAATTATAAATTATGAACTTGACCCGATGAATTAAAAATATACATGGAAGTGAAGGTTAGCATTGATGAACATCGATTTTTCTCGAGAGCATCAATTCTGAGTTAATGTTACCTGATACAGTCCTCGCTGTGAAAGCTTTTTCAGAAGAGGATATTTATTGAATGAGTGCTGCTAGCATCTTTCTTAAAAAATACGTCTTTCCTTCTACATTGTGTAACATTAACCGCGACAGGTAAAACACAAAGAAATTTGAAAAATTGAGAAAAGAACTCCTTTGATACGGTGAACAATTAAGCTCGACTGACCTTACTTCCAAGACGAGTCATCATAAGATAACTCCCATTTTTTGGTTTTCTTAGGAGGATCGTGAAATTTTGCCCAAGTCGACATTCCACACGGTGTCGATTTTTTCCAAAGAAAATCGAACAAAGGTTACATTACACGAAAATCAGAACACTCGAGTCCAAAAGGAGAGTAGAATAATGAAAAAAAAAGTTACATGCAATTAATAAATCTGCGCATGGTGATGCCTTCGAAGTGAATGCACTCTAATTTTGTTTGATAGTCTCTTTCACGCCTCAAATTCTCTGTTAACAAATCTCTCATAAGCCTAAGCATGACGTTCATGGTAAAGTCCCTTAACGGGAAAACTGATCTCTAATTTTATATAATAGTTCCTTTTCCAATGATCCCTTATCGACCTTGCATAAAAGTGGCGGAGACCTAAAGGCTAAATTGTATTTTTTTTCTTAACGACTCTGTTTTTCAGAGCTGTAGATGTTGATATCACAGATGGGACTCTACCCCCTTTGACTGAACCTCCCAATGCAACAGCTATTCTGGACAAAATGTTTTTCAACTACGACAAAAGACTCAGGCCCATGTATGGAGGTAAGATTGATTCTCAGGTGATCCAGAAATAACTTCTCTCTCTTGATCAAAGCAGAAGATCACTCTACTCCAAGATGCAGCGAGAAAAAAAAATACAAGAAATACTCTTCACGACCAAATGCATGCAATTTTGTCTCCACTACAAAACAAATAACACAGTAGTGTCACGACCATATATAAATGCATGCATTTGTTCTGATTATCAAAGTCTGGATTAACAGAGATGGGCAACCGCTTACAAGGACATAACTACGGTTATACAGAGGCCAGAAAAAACCTGCCAGAAAAAACCCCTTTGGTGAAAAACATGACAGGAAATCTGGGTAGGAACCATGGCCCAAACTCAGAGCAGTTGGCAGCCTATCCTACGAGGCTTCACAGCTAAAGAAAATATGTTTTCAAACTAAAATAAATTTGTCATCAGCCAGAGGTGAACGGTTGGTTCTGAGGCCTAGATGGAAATCACGTGCTATACTTTCCCTTATATACCACTGCATCATTACCCATGATGCGCGGGCCTAAGGCCCAGGCCTTGTCGTATCTCGTGCCGACAAAATATTTATTTCTGCCTTATTCGCAGACTCATTCGTCAGAAATACCATTTTGTTCTGATTATAAAGTTCCGACTGAAAGAGGTTCGCTTCTTATACGCGCACAGCTAATATTTGTGCCATTCAAAGCTTTCCTCGGCGACTGAAGGTGAAAATATACATATCATCGAAAAGTGAGAAAGTATTCAGAGTTACAGATAACTACTTTTACAGATTTATGTTAAAGATGCGAGCTCAGAGAGACGAGAGAACCTTGTAATGCCTGTTGTTATCATCACTTCTCCCTCAAAATCAGAAATTGATTTTGGGTGGCAATATTCCATACATTCGTGAGGTCAACAAAAAAATAAAATGTTGGCAATGATCGATATGAAACGCTTTGAAAATCGAATGAATAGAGGGGGTAAGTTTCTAAAGAAACTGTGGTGTCGCGTAGGTAGGCAAATATGTCTAGATAATTTGGTTTTATCAACTGATTCATTCGCTCTGACGACAGGCTAACGCTCGAAATGTCAGCTTTGAAACTCTTTGCGGTGGCCGATTTACATCATCAACTCAGTTGATAGAACCAAATGTTTACTTTAAAGATCGGCTTGTCAAGTCTATGGCTTTTCTCCTCCCTCTGTTTAAAACTGCTAAAGATGACACCATTTTCACTGCTGTTTTTAGGAGATCCTGTTTACATCTACGTATCGCTGGGTTTCCTCTCCATAAGCCATGTGACGGAGGAAAATATGGTAACTAGATTGCTTTAGTTACGTAGCTACCACGGACATCTATTCAATGATTTCAGGGTATTGTGAAGACTACGTTACCTGAGCCCCGAGTAAACTACAATTAATTACGAGTTATCCTTCGCGTTATTCTTTAGTCACAGTAACCGTTAGAAGGAGATTGGTTAAAAGCAGACTGAAGCAAATCAACTTTCATTTAGTCAGTGAGGAGGCTCAAGTGAGGCCGCAAACACCTAGAGGATCTCGCATCTTTTTAAACGATGCAATCACTCGTGAAAGTATACAGCAATGCTTGTTGACGAATTATTTTTTTGACAACAGGAATTTAAGGGGGACATCTACATGCGCCAGTTCTGGAAGGATCCACGATTGGCCTACGGTGACAAGAACTGGACATTAATCCTTCAAGGAGATATTCTCAACAAGATGTGGTTTCCAGATACGTATATCGAGAACGCTAAAAAAACAACCATCCACGATGACACAAGAACAGTCATTGTGTTCGGAGACGGAAACGTGTTTTATTCCGTAAGGTACAACGTGAGTTGGAAATTGTTGAAAAGAATTGGCTTCGCGGATAATAACCTTACTTTAAATTAGGATGAAAACGGATGAATAAGATGACCAATGTATATCTGTGTTTTTGTTTCAGGGTCACAGTGAATGCTATGGGATTAATGGATTTCAAAAACTACCCAATGGATGTCCAGCGATTTTTCTTCAGAGTACTAAGTTGTAAGCAGAAACAGATATCTTTCCATCTTTTATTGCGCTTATTGCTCGCCAGTGCATCAGAAAACGTCAGAAATAAATAAATGTTTGATGATACTTTCTGATGATGACCATCAGAAATGTTGACGTAATCGTATCGATGGTGATTAACATTAATGATGTTAATAGGACCGAGTGGAGTCCAGTTCGGTCTGTAATTACTCAAGTGATTACAAAATCAAACAACCGCGAAGCAGGAGTCCGATTTGTCAATCACGAGTATGATTACAGTACGAATTGGACGACACTAAGTCCTGTTACCCATTAATCATAACCATTACAATTTCCAGAAAAAAGTGCAGTTCTTTGAAAAAATATATCCGGTAGAGGCATTATCTTAAGTAAAACATTTCAATCTCCATTTTGAAAACCCAAAGTAAGCTTAATAACAGCAAAATGTGCCCATATTGGCAGTGAAACGTTCAATTAACAAATTAGTTTTGTATCTGATTGGCAAATCAACACAACATCAAATCCAAACAAATCAGGTGAAACTAAACAAAATTTTTGAAAGGAGATGTTATTCAGTGAATGACAGAGGCGAGCTTGGAGAAAAAGAACTCTGAGTTCTCCCGATGGGGTTCAAACCTACGACCTTCCGATTAGCACGTCAGATGCTGTACCACTGAGCTATAGGAGAATCAAGACAAGCTGGGCCGTTCAACGATGTCCATGATGACAAACTTCCTGCATGCTCCTAAGATAGGAACGTGGATATGTAAAGCTTATGTGCAATTCACCATCTTCATTTACATCATCAACAAAATTCTTGTTTTGCATATGCAGTTCTGAAAACCTTTATACAAATAAGATGCATCGATCGTATTCATTAATTGATGAAACCTTTTAAATTTATTTTTAGACGGTTTTGACATCACTCAGATACGATATAAATGGATTGATGTGTCGCTTTACAGTACAGACATGGCAGAATTCTTCGTCATGAATCAAACACTTGCTAGTGACAAGGTTAAATATATGATAGGCAAGTATTGTTTTCTTCGTCAATGGAACAGTTGATAATATCATATTTTGACGGCTGCATCGCTCTCGAAATGGGTATAGTCTGGGTCTAGCTTGATGGTTTCAGCTCAAATCGCTCATGTTGTGTTCTTGGTTAATACACTTCTTCTACCAGCACCACTCTCCATCCGGACTGATGGTGTTAAAGTTAGGTTTCCACCAGCGGATTATCTGGGAAACCATGGATTAGATAGTTAGCTAAAGGGGGAACCTCTCTCCATTTAAGCTGGAAACTCCCAAAGACTGAAATGTATATTCCAATATTTCTTCCTACCATCCTTATTTCATCAAAACTTTGAACTTGATTCGATTTTGGAAGCTCAATTTGATAACTTAGAGGTTAATTGCACACATCATGCTTCTAATTAGACTGTACGAAATGCAAGTTTCCCCGTCATGCTTGCGGATGATATTATTCGGATCGAGGGTTCATTTTCTCATGAAAGAAATCTCAACTGTTCTAATTGATGGATAAATTATTCCAATAATCATTTCGTCTCCGAACTTTTGTCAAAATGATCAGACTCGTAATTAACGAATCGAACTTCCATTTCGGGGCTGTCTCAGTTTGATAATCACTCTCATTATCATAGTCCCCTTCACTGCCACTATACGAAATGTTACGCAACTCTCCCCTAGAGAGTTTTCTTGAGGGAACGTTGCGTAATATTTCAAAGAGAGGCTGAGAAGGAGAGTGGTGAGACCAAAGCCTTCCATCGTTCCTATTACCGATTTTAATTCTGAACAATTTTGCAGGTTGGTTCGACTATCTTGACGTCAACTTCCACGTTCGAAGAAGGATCGGCCATTACGTCATACGCATATTCTTTCCCTGCATCCTTTGCACAGTTGTATCGTGGCTTCCATTCTGGATGGATAGGGGCGAGATCGGTGATCGTGGTGCTCTAGGCATTACAACGCTGCTGACAGAAGTCTTCCTCTTGCAATACACCAATGACTCCATGCCACGAGTCAGCTACGTAAAAGCCGCTGATCTGTTTTTGATTGTCTCTTTTGCTTTTACCTTTATGGCTTTACTGGAAAGCGTCATCGTATACAACTACAGAAAGAGATTTTTCATAGCGGAAAGCACTCAATCAAAATCGCTGACTGGTGGAAGAACGTTTTTTCGTAAACGTGCTTTCAAAGTTGACGAGGTTAGTTTAAGTGTTTTTGTAATTTGAAATAAGTCGTAGGATTTACTGCCGACCTGTTTTCATGACACTCCTTGACTCATCATGACCATATGCCAACATGATTTACCATCTATAACTATTTATTTTATTCCAAAAGTATTTGTTTTATATATATGATATTTTTGTTCGCCGCTGTTATTCCAGTGCGATAGACTGCTATTTGAAATTAATTCATTTTCAGGTTCGTAAGGCAGACACTGTCCACATAAATGGCTCATATATTAACCCGGCAGTACATGCTGAGGTGAGAAAAACATGATTTGTGATATTTGTGCCAAGGTGTCCATCTGTATGTCTGTCATTTACAGGTATTATGTAGACCAGTTGTCATTCACATAATGGTCGAACTGTTTCTCTGGTCGTCTGTTAATCCTTCTGACATATATAATGCATCTGTGCACGTCCTTACACTCTAACGAGGGGGCTAACTCTCGGAATCCCATATTTAGAAACTCTTTAGTTGGCCGGTTCACATTATCAACTTAATTCATAAAGCCAAACTATCTTGTCTGTCCATCTGTTCGTTATTGTATTCTGTTTCCGCGCTTAATGCACAGGGATGTCTGATTATCTTTCGACCATTCGTCTCTTAACGACGATGGTACAATGAAATGCCGTTACACAGTTGTGCAATGAAGTATAGAAAGTCACTCTATAGTCGTTACTTATTTTCAATTTATAGCAAGAAGACCTAGCAAGTCCATTACCCGAACTTCAAGAAACTAAAGCCCCTTGGAAAGAACCAGAGGATGAAAAGCAGAATTGTCCCAAATGTTCCGTGCTGTCAAAATCGAAAATCTACAGCTACTACACCTGCGTCAAGAGTTATTTTACAAAGAACGATCTTAGTTTTTTCATCGAGATGTCCTCCCGTATTTTGTTTCCCCTCATGTATGTCGGATTTATCGCCTTTTTCTTTGGAAAATATGGAATATAAAGTTGAGAACATAGAACCTCTGCACAAAAGTTGTAGGAGGCATATTTAATTTACATTTTTTTTAAATAACTTTTTGACAATTAAGTGCGGAATAAAAATTTAAGTAGTGCAAGAAACGCCAAAGGAACAAAAGAACCAAATATTGAGAATTGAATAATTTAATTTTCTGATTTGCTTGATTTTAAAGGCATGCAAACCTAGTGACTGGAAAGCAATTTGGAGTGACTAATTCATGTTAAAGATCATCTGATTACTAGCGCACACATCCAAATATTCTTCACAGCTAGTAGGTGTAAAACCAAGACACACTCGATATAATAGCAATAATGAGAGTGATAGTGTCTGGTTATAGACGTATGAAAAGTTTCAGCAGAGCTGATTTTTTTCGTCTTTGGAGTAATAAGTAACAAAATACGTGTTGATACTTAAAAAGCTCAAACTAAAATAATTTACAAGGAGTAGCGCATTGTGAACGCTCTTTTGTCTAGGTAATGACTCGAGGTCCGTACCTCAAAAGTAAGTTTTCTTCTCTCTCTTCGTAAGCAGCTTCATAAAAATATTTACAAGCTCGGAATTGTAACCATTTAGCATAAGCTAACTACTTATCTTTGGGCGTGCACCAGTCTACAAATTACGGTCTAAACCGTAAATTGTCTTATTGAACTTTGCAGGTTTCAGTTTTTGATTATGAAGGCTGCTTTGCTCTGTTAGATATCTCTGGGCTGTAAATATATCCGAATGTATTCCTTATCAAATCCTATCTTCCTTCGTTAAGAACTTTTACAAAAGAAACCCTGGTTCAAATAGTAACATTCCAATCCAATAACGACTATGAGGACTCGAATCTATACTAAGACTTCTTTTGGAGTACAAAGTATAAGTGATCTAGAACATAACGAACATAGAATTAGCCTAAAGCTCGAACCTAAAGGTTTGCCCTCTGTTAGTAACATTATTGTAAATATGGAATTGTTGTAAATATAGTAATGAAAACCTGCAGATCATTGCCTTGAAATGTTATTAAAATAGTAATTTATGTAAGATCTCAGAACTAAAGTTTGATAATATTTATGGAACATACGCATCGTTTAAGAATTCTCTAATAACTAAGTGCGCTTCTTTCCTCTACATTATTACCTGCGGCACCCAACTTTCCTTTCGAGCCCACTTCAAAATAAACAAATGTTGAATAAACTACTTTATTCTCTCTAAAGAAACATTATGTTTTACGTCTTTTAAATTTAATTTCATAAGTTTGGTTCTCGAAAGAAGTTCGCCTTAACTTTAAGGCTAACTTCATTCTGTTCATCGACTTTGTTTCCCTTTTGGCCACGAAATTAACTAAAGGTGAAAATTAAGAATCGGCCAATGCCCTCGTCCCTTTTAACATGATGCTATGAACTCTAAACCTGTTCATTACCTGGAGTCAGAGTGACTACTCAGGGAAATATCCCTTGAAAACATCATTGTTTGCACAGTTTTAAGGTGAAAAGGTGATGAGGAGAGAGGGGAGAGGAGAAAACCAACTTTTCAACAAGGTTTCATTTAACAGTCAGTCAGTCCGATCTAAAACCAAAACTGTCAGGTAGGCAGTAATTAAAATTAATGTTAAGATCTCGGAAGTCGAAAGGTTAAAGAAGTTACCTTACACTTTGGTGGTTTTCCATTGCCATGGAAAGTTGCCTCGAAGTAGAGATTACCAGAATATTGGTTAGCTTTGCTAAACAAACCCTACAGGGGCAGCGAAAATAGGCCAGCAAGGAGTATGGTTAAGGATGCAAACGATAAATACTTATTGCAAATGACTTAAAGAAATTAGTTTGGAGCAATAGAAAAACACCAAAGAGACAATAGTAAACAAAGAAAGAAAAGGGATGGCTGAGGACTGAGAGGATTGACGCTGCTAATTGTAAACGGCTACAAAATATGTATTAGTGTGGCAAATTAGCAAAACACCAAACAGACTCTTGCAGAACCAATTGCAAGAAGAAACAAGGGTAGCTGAGAATGGATAAGATTCATAACGATTGCAAACGACCAGCTCAGAAAATTTGGGCCGACTAATTTTTATCCGCTCTCCACAGAGATAAGTGATTTAAAGTCTGTTGTTTTGAATGAAATTAAATATCTTGAAATCGGTGCCGGTTAATTATCTGTAATTATTAAGTAGAACATGAAACAGATTGAATTGTTCTTTCAAAGCGAAAAAGCAAAGCGTTCCGCCGTTGCCGGCTTCACTACGGATATTTGGACTATTTTTAAACGTGTTCAGTGAATGGCGCACTAGGAAGCTGTGGCACGCAAAAATTTCTCGCATTTTAACGGAGAAATATCAGAATTAAAGAACGATGATATATTTTGCAGAACGTGACGTTTTAGGGACCATATCTAGAACAAAAGAAAGGCCTTTCAAGAAATTACATAATTGCTCACTGTTCAGACGTTTAATTCGAAAATTAATTGATTATATTAGGAAATCGGTAATTAACACTTTGGTAAGAGGCTTAAAAAAGATTGTCGGTTCTTGTCTTACCAATTTTTACAGAGTGAAAAGTTAAACTCGCAGAGCCTTGGCTGGTTCGTTTTCAAGAGGTCTAATATCAAGATGTTGAAGGTTGAGGATGTTTTTCAGGCTCAGAGGAGAAAGATAATGTAACACCGTGGTTAAATTTCTTAGATTGTGTGCAGATGTATGCAAATATCTTTAGGTTTTAATTTTAATTATTTCCGTGGCTCAATAGGCCTAGCAACCCGCAACTAATTGGTTTTAATATAGATTCCCTGAATTGGTAAAAAAATAAACCAGTCTCAAAACGGCTTTGAGAAAGTCACGCAAACAATGTTTAGTAGTGTGCGCGACATGTCCAACGAATGAACCGCTCCTTGCCGTAAGGAACCAGACGTCAAATAAACAAGGAATAGTACAAGGAAAGGTAGGCAAATTTTTTTCAAGATTTGACAGCTATGTAACTGAATATCGCATGAATCAGAAGCAAGATGAATAATTGTTAAGGTTAACCTCTCACCCTGAATGTGTGTATATGGTTAGCCTCTATTTTCTCTGAGATTGTAGTTACTGTTTTTCTTCGACCAACATTCCGCCCGTGACTTCTGAGAACGACAACATCCCGTGATATTACCGGAAATAGTTGGTTTCTCCCCTGGAAAGTCGATATAATAACAATAACTCATCGGCAGACGGTCAAAATATCAAGTTTTTAATAATAATAAAACTATGAATAGATTTTGAATGATCAGTCAGTCCGAACTCCAACCTCTTACACTGCCTTATTCTGTTGCACTGGGATGCAGAAAGCTAACTGAGACATACGATAGCTGAAAAACCTGTTTGAAACATTTATGTTAGGAACGATGCCAAATTTCATTGCAATTTACGGATAATTGATGTAATTGTCATGTTTCTTGGCATTATTGCCATAGCAATTTAAATACTCTGCAACGTTTACAGCGCAAAAAACGAGTTTCTACTGGATGACATCTCTTTCGTGAGCAAGTGAAATTCGTATCACGATATCATTAGTGATCTCACAGTCATCTTCGCACAGGTATCCCATTAAGGCATTTAACAGGTTACCCAACACGGTATAACTTTGCATTCTAAAACGTCGCGAGAAAATAATGAAATCATTGTTTTCTTTTGTAAATATAATTGCGCAAATGCAGTCAGGGAGGAAGGACTTCTTATCGCCTGGTACATGATTAATATTCAGGTAATCCTGGAAATAATATTTCTAAAGGGAAGCTGGACTTGAATGTATGGCGCATGATGTGCAATGTGTGCCCGTACGTACGGGATTGATGCCGGAAGTTGATATCTCTTAATCAAACAATGCAACCATTGTTTTACATAAGGCAAAAGTATTTTCTCTTAACTCTGAAGAGATGCATTGACGGGAAGAAATATATGTCACTGTCAACCCCTTTGAAAGAAAAACAATGTCCATCGTGAAGTTTGTGTGCATGCTTGCGTGAGTGGGGATACAGGAATGGTGGAGACAGTGATAGTCATCTGACACTTTCAAGGATCATGTGATTAAGTTTGAGCAAGGCGTAGATTGAATTCCTCAGGCTTTGTTAGCCTGTTAAGTGTTAGAAAAATGTAGAAATATTTCGTATCATTTAATGTTAATCCAATTCATGAAAAGACATTACAACATTTACGCCCCAAGCTGGACGAAATCTTATAAGTTCTTTCGATTGAAAAAAACTTTATTTTCTAACACAAAAATATATTTTTTTGGAGCAATAAGGGAATCTGAAGGTCATCGTGATCGTTAGTTTGAATTAAATTTAATCTTTCCATTCCTTACGACTCTGGTTACTTCTTGTTTCATGAGTGCTTGTCGTATCTCTTTTTCATTTTTTGATATTTAACAGTGTCCTTCATGGGGTAGTATATCGTCGCAAAAAAACCAACAACAACTACAACAACACACGTACAAAAAAAAGCAACAAAAGAGAGAGACTCATTCTTTGACTCTTTAATTTTTGCTGGAAATTAAAATCTACATGACGTGATTCAAAAGCAGCAGAATACGCTTAGCGTAAAGTGATTGTATAATATACGCGTGCCGTTATTCTAAAATCCATCGAAAATTTTCTAGACCTACTATCTAAATTGACCCTTTCGAAATAGTACACCGGCTTGCTGAATTCTGTGAGGACTTTCTATTTGTTAATCTGACCTTGGACAGAATATATAATATAAGTTTGGCGGGAGGTAAATCCTCTCTTAACCTGTCCTAAGAATCTTAAATCATGTGCTATCTTAAATTACAAGTATCATCAATTTTAATAAAATTAAGAAACGTTTGAAATTGTTACGAGATCATCTGCACTTACTAAACTGCTTGAATTAGTCCACGTTTTCGCTTGGGATCTATAAGTTCGTCTTAAGAATCTTAAATCACGTGCTATCATAAATTATAAGTATTATCGATTATCACAAAATTAAGAAACGTTTGGAATTCTTACGAGATCATCGGTACTTACTAAACTGATTGAAATAG